TGAGGGTGCCAGGATCCAGAGGAGAGGTCCAAAAATACTGAGAGACGCTAAGAATATACAACATACGAGAAACCACGAGAAATAAGCAACGTACTAATCTAAGGAAGGCTGATGACAGAGAAAGAACTAGCAAGGGAGTGAAGGGTGAGCTGAGTTTAAATAAGGAGTGAGACAAAGAGGTGCAGCTGATGGGTGTCAGGAAATCAGGGAAGGTGTGTCTAATCAAGAGAATCAGTGTGAGGGAGCAGACTAGGGCGAGAAAGAGAGAAGAGAGGAAGGTGCAGCCGGGCAAACCTGACAACTGCTTATGGTGAAGTCAGCCCTCTGAGTCCATTTTCTCTGTCTCACCACCTCGCTTGTTGTGCGGCCATAACAAAGATACTGAAACTCAACATTTGTTTTACACCTGTGAAGTTATCAGAATCTTGTGGGAGAAATCACATAGATGGTTTGACAACAAAAGAAATCCCTGATCATAGCCTAGGGTAAATGTAGCTATTTGAAAGTCACCACAAAATTTCCAGGCTTCGAAAATTATTTGCAACTTCATTTTAAAACTCTACAGATATTCAAATACAAATTCTACATACAAATACATTAAGATTAGGCTACTTGATCAGAAATCAAATGTAGGGATATTAATACGAATCATTAAGTAATTAGTATTAATAAAATATAAAATGATTTTACACATTCATCCATTTTATATTTAGATGTAATTACTTGCTTGCATTTTACTAGAATATATTGTTTATTTTATTTAGAATTATTAATTTGCTGTGTTTTGATTATTCATTGTATGTCTGATTCAGATGCTTGCATGTCTGCATGGTGGTTTTGGGTTGTTTCGGGGTTATAATAATAATCTAATTCAACTTCCGACGCAACGTGACGTCATCCGGAAATCTGCTGCATTAACCAATCAGATGCGTGCAAATGCGCATGCTGGTGTAATACTTTGCAACGTGCACGTTGTTTTCTGCTGTTTACCTCAAGATCATCACCAGTTAAGATACGAGTCTTTTACAGGTCAGATACACTTCATTTTTAAAATCCTGTCTGTGAGTAGAGCAAACCACTGTTCTGGTTCTGGTCGTCTAATAGTGGTTTAAACATAAATCTGTCCCTTTAACTGTCCGTCCGGGATCGTAGCTGTCACTGAACTGAGAGAACAGCAACAGGTGGCAATGACCGAAAGGTGAAGTCAACATAGGCTGCTCCCAACCTTTCTAACAGCCTTCACAGTCTGATTAAGTCCGAACTGTATGGTTACCTTGTCCTACCTATATGGTGGGTCTATGGATTTGCTAACCCTAACCAGATTGTGGTTAGCATAGTTAGGACATGTTGACAAAATGAATTTTTAGGACCCCCTCTCACCCGACACTCAGATCTGGACAACTTTTAAATCATTGGTCAAAACATATTTATTCACTTTGGCTTTTAATACATAGTGCTGTCTAATGCTTCCTCCTTTTATCTGTTGATTCTATGTACTTGGTGTTTTATGTTTCTATGCTGTTTTTGCATTGCCGTGTAAAGTACTTTGGTCGACTATACGTTGTTTTTAAAGTGCTATACAAATAAATTTAGATTGATATTATTATTATTATGATGCCTTATATAGCCTAGGATAGTAATATAACCTGTATAATGTAGCTACTGTATTTTGCTGATTTTGTCCCTTTCCCCCCTTTTAACAGGATTTTATATAATGGCTAAAACATTTGAACATGTGAAAGCAGCTATCCAGTCACTTCATAAAAACACCACTTCAGAAGAAAAAGTGAACTTCTACAACTCCTGGGCAGAGAACTATGATCAGGTGAGATACACCACTGCCAAGTGTCAGGACTTCCATTTTTATTTATATATTTAAAACATTTGCACTTGGATTTGCAGCCAAGTGAATAATCTCAAATTGTACAAAGCTAAGAATTAAACTGCCAGAGGTTAAAAAAAAAAAAAAACAAACCAGTTTTACTTGTCCTTACAAATTGAA